GGGGCCACCCGGCCCTTCGGCTCCAGGAGCTGCTGCGCTGCCTGGTTCTGGTCCTCCCCGAACACGCCCGGGTGTCCAGGGGCCGCTTGCACAGCCCCGGGTCGCCGCCTGCGGAAGGGTCTGATGGTTCTGGGAGGAGAGGCGGCTCGGCCCGGCTTCCAAGTGCTGGGTGGGGAGAGCGAACCACGGTCCCGGGATCCTGGCGCACGGAGCCGCTGGCGACCCCGCCGCTGCCGTCCGCCGCAGGGCCGAGTCCCTAGAGCGCGAAATCGGGAGCCCCAGCGTGCAGTCTCCTCCCCGGGATGCTGCCTCCTCCGGCTCACCAAGCGTGTCCTTGTGGGCCCCTGAGCAGAGAGGGTCGCTTGGAGCCGGAGAGGAGGGGACCAGGTCGGGGAAGGCCGGGGCCCAGGGAGCGCAGCTGCCGAAGTCTGCTGCCCCGGTCAGCAAAACTTTGTCTCCGAGTGCGCAGGCGCAGGCAGGGCTGGGGGCAGGGAGGGAGGGGAGGAATCCGGGAGCCTGGGGCGGTGGAGGGAGGAGGCGGGTGCGGGATTAAAATAAGTAGGCGGCTCGGTGCGAAGGGATGAGTGAGACGCAGTTTGGCCTCTCCTTAGCGCGTTCTCAGCCGCTCCGGTGCAGACGGCGAGGAGCGGGAGCCGGGCTCTCCGTCCCGGGCAGGCGGGACTCGGGGCGCTCCCCGCGGCCCGCGGAGCGGGTCCGGATACCGGGCGCCAGGGGCGCCTGCGGGTCGCAGCGCCGGGGACTCCTCGGGTCCTGGGCGTGGAGCTCAGACGCACCATCAGCTCCAGAGCCGCCACGGAAAGAGGTAAACTCGGCCCCGGCGCGGGGCTCAGCCAGGGCGCGGCAGGCAGGACTCCGGGGTCCCCTTCACAGCGCGCGGGCGCCTCTGCTCCGGCGCTTCTTGGGGAGCTCGGCTTAGCTGGGAAGGCTGCGGGACCTGGAGGAAGCGGGAACCCTGCAGCCCAGAGCGGTTGGGGCGGTGGCCCGGAGCTTCGCGAGCAGGTTCTCGGCCCTGACCTCTGCGGGCCGCTGCTTCCAGCCGCGCGGAGCCCCGGCGAAGGTGCGCGGGGACCTCGGCAGGCGGTGTAGGTCTCCGTAAGAAACCCGAGCAACTTCAGACACAAACTCTGCAAAGCGCGCGCCTAACTCGCCATCACCTGCGAGAGCAGGGCTGGGGAATGCGCGGGCGGCGCGGATGCTGCTCTGGCCCCGGGACAGGTGCGCGTCCCCGCCGATTGCGCTGCCTTGCGCGTTTATCTTTTGGTGACTTGGGCTCAAGTAGGGGGTCAGCTGCTGCCTCGGGAGCTCGGGCCGCGTTTCAGACGCCTGCCTTGCACGTGGACTCGGGTGCTCTCACAGGACGACTGCTCCTGGACCTCAGGTCTGAGTTTACTCTTGACGGATTGTCCAGGTGCAGGGACGCAAGCAGGGGCGCGAGCTTTGCTTCCAAAGCCTAGACCCTCATGCCCAGAGGCAGCGGACGCGAGGTGCAGCGAGGGCCTCCGGGTTGGGGTGGGAAGAGGATTCTTTTGCTCCTGATGTCTCCTAACGCTGCCTTTAGGAAGCAAGGTGGAGCCTGAGGTGAAACGGAGGCGCGAGGTTGCCTCTGTGCTAATTTCTCCTCTGAAAAGTCTCTGCTAAGCGTGCAGAGTCACACCCAGTGGTTTTCAGCCCCTGGAGTAGTAGCGGGTGGGCTCCAGGAGTGAAAGGTAGCTGCTGCGAGAGTGTCTTTGTTGCACAAATTCTGTAAATTTCATCCGGGTGAGCGCTGCGCCTAGGTTTTCATGAACAGAACCTCTTGCAAGGCCAGACCTACTGCCTCACCCGCTCCTAGGGAGCAGAAGGGCTGGGAGGCGTAGGGGGAACTGCTCGGGAGCTGGTGCGTCCCGGATCCTGGACGTGACTGCAGTTTCCTTAACACTGAGGACCGGTCCGCGGTCACAGAGGACGCAGCAGCAGCAGGATGGCCGTTTAGAGTGGTTCGCTCTGGTTCACTGGGAAGACACAGGAAAGCAACGGGGTGCTGCTGGCTAGTGCTTTGGACGAGGGTGCGGGCGCCTGCCAGCCACCACTCCAGTGGGTGAGTCCACGTCAAGGGTGGTTGTTGGGGCTGCCGCGAGGCTCCCCCAGGCGCGAGCTCCTGCAGTTCGTTCAGTCCTCATTAATGAAAGCAGTTAAGTCACTCCCGCTCAATTAGAGCCGAATAAACCTCTTTAATAGACTCTGCACACTTCATTAATGCCCAGCACAGGGCTGGAGGCAGGCTGGGGATTGGCGCTCTGCCGCGCGGGGACCCGGGCTCTGCAGCTCGATTGGTGTTCTCTGCGCACAGTCGGGGTGCTTCCCATCAGCTCCCCAGGCCGAGGCTTAGAGCCGGATGGCTGCTGACGTGGGAGAGGCGATCCTGCTGGAGCTGAAAGGTCGAAAGCTTTCCTGCGGGGCTCTCACTCAGGTCGGGGGCCTGGGAGTCGGGAGCGGACTCGTTCTCTGTGGCTGGGGATGCAAGTGAGAGACCGCCTCAAACCGGATCGATCATTCTGCCCGTTCTGGCTACTAGTGCAAAGAGCCACGTTTCCAACGAATTTCGTCCACCAGAAAGTCGTTGGCGGAAACCTGGGGAGCCCGGGGCTCGGAATGCTGTGGAGGAACATGAGAAACTGGCTGAGAAACGGGCCGCGGAGGAAAATAGATGGTGTGTTAGGGGAAATGAGATCGGGCAGATGGCCCGGAAGGTTGCTCCCCGGCGCCCTGCGAGCTGCAAGCATCTCTGTCCGCCTCTGTAGACTAAGGCTCTGGGGTCTTTCTCCCTGCTTGAGGGGAGACCAGGGCAAGCCAGGCCAAGTTGGGGGGGCTCTCCTACTGGCGCTCAGAGCAAAGTTGGGCCCGCTTGCAGCCCGGAGTCCTGTCTCCGCGGCTGCTCCATGGCCTCCTCCAGGCCTAGCCGCTGGCGCTGCAAAGCAGAGGCCACCGAGTTGCCCAGTGGCCCAGGAGCCAGAGATCAGGATCTGATTTCCAGGGACTTCAGAGCGGAGAAGATGGCAAGTCAAAGAGTGCTCGCCTCCCCCCGGATCTGGGCAGACCTCTGAAGCTGGTAGTCTTCTGTCCTTCCTCCCCATCCCCAAGGGGTATCTGCTTCCTCTTTGGCCCAATTCGTACTTTGCTTCCACTTGTCCCAAACCTCTGGGACTGTCTGGGTTTGTCCCGTGAAGCACTGCAGAAGGCTGGTGCCCAGGCTCTGTCCTCGGGGCCCTGGCTCTCAGTGCAGAAACTGGACTGCACAGATCAGTGCTCCTCTGCCCCGGGGCTGAATGGTGACAGTGTCCCACTATTTCCATCTGTTGGGTGACTGAACCTGTGTGGACTCATCTCTGCCAACTACGGTGTTTTCTGCCTCCTGCCCCTCAGTGTCTCTTTCATCAGAGTCCCCACCTCAGAAGCCAGGACCCTCCTGCCAGCTCCCAGTGGCAGTGTTTTCCTGGGTTAAGATGGCCTTCACCCTCCCCTAGAACAGGGGTGGATCTCTGCACAAGGCCAGCTTATAGAGCCTCACTGTAGAGAAAGAGCAGCTGAGAGTGACTGCCTTGCTTGGGACCAGATGGTCCCTGGGGACCAGGAGAGGTCCTGGAGGCCTAGGAGGGCTGAGTGTATACTTCGAAGTAGGATTACATCCCAGGCAAGGTGATTACTCCAGCAGAGAAGTCGGAGGGGAAGGAGAGGCACAGGGCTCCAGAGAGAGAGATGTCAGTAGCAGGAGGCTGAGACTGAACAGGAGGGAGTCCTTGGACCCTGCTTGGATAATAACTTCCTGAGTACTGGGGCTTGGGATGAGGGGTTCAGTACTGGCTTTGCAAGGCCCCCAGCTGCTCTCAGCCTTCCTTCTTTCTGTAGACTTGAGTTAGGAGCATCTAAGAGGGGTAGGTAAGAACGGCTCTTTGCAAACTGTAGACCCTGACAAAAGAGACCTGGAGATGCCAGCCCCTGCTCTTCCTGCTGTGGCTGCAGCACATTGGCCTTGCATAGCAGTGAGGCCTGGAGGCAGTGTTCTCATCTCTACCCACACTGGTCCAGGGTTCCCTACATGCACAAAAATCCTGCTGCCCTTTCCTGTGGGGGGAAGGAAGGCACTTGAGGCCCCTTATATGTGACAGATATTTAAGGGACTAAATGAATGTGGGTGTGTGTGCCCTCCCTCCTTAAAATGAAGGTGATCCCCAAGGGCAAGGGTCAGGAATCAGTCTGCAAGCAGCTGGAGAGACAGCAGTGCCAACAGGATTCACTAGCTGTCAGGCAAGAGGGCAAGTGCAGTTCTGAAGGTGCCACAGCTTCTAGAACGAGCTCCAAGTTTAGCCGGGATACCTTAGTAAGCAGGACCCTGGAGTGTGTGTGTGTGTGTGTGTGTGTGCTCATCTGTGATGACCCTTGCATTTTGTAGCCACTGCTGTCCAGTGAGACACTAGCTGGCCCCATTTATCTTTGCACCTTGTAGTTGTTTTAGACAGTGTGAATATGTGTTTGTGTGTCTGTGTACTTCTCCGTTCATCTGCACACATAGGTGTGTGCTTCCAAATGCTGTTATCTTTACAGGAGGAGGCACATCTGTGTGGACCCAGGCTTGCCTCCATGTTGGTTCTCACCCACACCAGTTGCCTTGGGCTTGGCTTCTCTTCCTGGGCTACACGTAACAGGCCCTCATTTTAAGTTGGTTGCATTGCTTGGGATTTAACTTCATATTGGTTTCTCTGTTGTGTTTCTGCCAGAGGCTATTTGGGAGAAGCTCTTAAATCAAGGAGGGCTCCCAGAAGGAGATTTCCAGTATCCGTGTTCTTATGGGCTTTGTGAGAACATAGAGAGGGCAGTGCATGGGTCCTGGACTCCCAGCAGCTACCCTGGGGAAGGAGAGGGCGTGGCAGGGTGGAATTCTGAAGGAAGGCAACCTATGCTGACCCTCTCTTGTCCTCTCTCCCTTCTTCCCTTCTTTGCAGATCAAGGGTGAGAACCTTTGCAGCTACTGCAATGGGCAGCAAGACCTTGCCAGCACCGGTGCCCATCCACCCATCCCTGCAGCTCACCAACTACTCTTTCCTCCAGGCAGTGAACGGCCTGCCCACGATGCCCTCGGACCATCTGCCCAACTTGTATGGCTTCAGCGCATTGCATGCTGTGCACCTGCACCAGTGGACGCTGGGTTACCCGGCCATGCACTTGCCACGTTCCTCCTTCTCCAAAGTGCCCGGCGCTGTGTCCAGCCTGGTGGATGCACGCTTCCAGCTGCCCGCCTTTCCCTGGTTCCCTCAGGTCATCCAACCCAAGCCGGAGATTGCTGCTGGAGGCAGTGGCCCAGCACACAAGACCAAGCCGCGGTTTGATTTTGCCAACTTGGCTTTGGCTGCCACGCAGGAAGATCCTTCCAAGCTTGTCCGAGGCGAGGGCCCTGGATCCCCTGCAAGTGGTTTGGGTGCCCTCCTGGATGTGACCAAGCTGTCTCCAGAAAAGAAGCCCACAAGAGGACGGCTGCCTTCTAAGACCAAGAAAGAGTTCGTCTGCAAGTTCTGTGGCCGCCACTTCACCAAGTCCTATAACCTACTTATCCATGAGCGGACGCACACGGATGAGCGGCCCTATACCTGTGACATCTGCCACAAAGCCTTCCGGAGGCAGGACCACCTACGGGATCACAGGTGTGAACCGCAGGTGGTCCAAGAGAGCTGCCACCTCTGGCCTCAGCATCCTCCTCCTTAAATCGCCTCACGGGACAGGACCTCCTACTTTTCTGAGTCTCTGAGCTTCCTGGAATTGCCTAGAAGCACAAAGGAAGCCACCACCAGAAGCTCAGGGATAGGTTTTGGAGTCAGGGTGGCGGAATTTGGGGTGAATGGTATCCCGAGGCCGGGTCAGTTCTCCACAGGCTCCAGCAAGTGCATGCTGTCCTCAGCCCTTTCCCTCTGGGTCCACAGCTGTCCAGAAGGGAAGCTTCTGTGGTGGTGGAGGTGTGGCACCTCCCAGACTGAACTTGTCTTGTTTAGTTTTACCCAACCTTAATTTCAGTAGGCACAGGTGGTATCGGCTAGAGTCCTAGTCTTGGCCCGTGATTATCCAAGCCCAGCTCCTCTCACCCATCTCTAGCATTGCCCCAGACCTTATAAGAAGGTGGTGCCCGTGCCCTCCGCGAAGAGCAGGTGGCCTTTTGCCGGGACCTGCTGGTCAAACACCCCGCAGGTCTCCTTCATTGCCCTGCTCCAGTGCAGCTCTCTATCTGCTGCACGGCACACATTCAGTATCCCCAACCCTGTTTGTCTTGTGCCTCAGAGCAGTGGGAAGGGCCCCGGCACACTGTAGGTAACAACGCTTCGTTTTCCAGGGTGTAACTTGTCTGTTTCTGCCCCCAGATATATTCACTCCAAAGAGAAGCCTTTCAAATGTCAAGAGTGCGGAAAAGGATTCTGCCAGTCCAGGACTCTCGCTGTCCACAAGACGCTACACTCACAGGTGAAGGAGCTCAAAACCTCCAAGATCAAATGCTAAACAAAGCCTCTGGCGCACCAGAGCCCTGGGCCGCGCTGCCCCTTCTCCGAGAGACTCGGCGCTGAAGGCGACTCTGGCGGGCATCGGGAGGGGCGCCGGGGACCTTACTCCACCCAGCGGTGCCCCTGGGTGCCTCGAGCGCGGGCGCTCCGCAGCTTGCCGGCGCAGAGACCCCCGCGCAGGGCGGCTCCCCTGGGACGCGGCTGGCCTCTGGGCCAGAGAGCGGGACTCACGTGACGGAAGGGAAACAGCATTAAGAAACGAAGAGAGCTCCGCGGAGCCGCACCGGCGCCTCTCCCAGAAGTATTACTTTTCAGTTGTTATTTTATACGTTTTTTTCTTGCCTTTTTTTCCTGCCCCCGCCCCTCGACCATACAAGTTTGTAACTGACTGCGGAGAAGGGAGCCGAAAAGAAGCTTCCAACCCCTCCTGGCGTCTCCAGCCCACCCTACTCCACCCCGAGCCTGCAAAGTGTAATCCTTGTATCTGCTTCAGCCGCCGCCGCCCTTGGGCCTGCCCGAGCGCCCTCCCAGCTCCGCCGCGCAGCCCGCCCCACCGAGGGCTCCGGTCCGGGATGGGACGCGGGGACTGCTCGCCCCCGGGGCTGCGGTGCCCCGCTCGGCCTCCTGGCTCCCAGGAGCGTCTCCGCGAGCCGGCAGGCTGGGGCGGGAGTTGCATTGCGACTGGCACTTTACGCTGACCATCGGTAATGGACATTTATCACTGGAGTTTTTTTTAACTATTAAATAAACGATTATTTTACAGGCTTTGCAGGGTGGGTACTTTGCTTCCCGCGGTGCAACAGGGCACCGCTGCCCCTGGGGAGGAGAAGGGTCCTTTGTCCAGTGGGTCCCCGCCGCGCGGGGCTGGCTAGGTGGAGACGCTCTGCAGGCGTCGCTCCTCTGCGCGTCCTGGATTTACGTTCTTATTTTACTCTTCCGCTTCGGTGCCAAGGTTCCCCTTCCCTCACCTACCATGAACCCGATTCCGGGGTCAGCTCCCTGGCATTTCCCGATCCAGGCCGTTCCGGTCCCACTAAGGGACGGAGTGCCACCTCGCTGTCACACTCCCCCGCGGCCCTCCCGCCAGCACTGGCTCCCACTCTGGCCACACCACCTGGCCGCACAGCGCCTCGGAGCAGCCCTGTACCCGATTTCCCCATTCCCCGGTCTGCGCCTGCAAATGGCACAACTGCCACAGCCTCCCCGAAGTCCCGAGCCCGCACCGACGGCCCTTCCCTCGGGCGCTCCTCGGCGCGGCGCTCAGGTCCGGCTAGTCCGCTCGTCCACCCCCGCGGAGGTTCCCCGCGCTGCAGCCCAGAGCAGTTGAGAGGGGAGGGCGGGCGCGCCGGGAGGCCAGGAACACTTTGGAGCGAAACCCGAGACCGCCCTCTGCAAGCCGAACCTTCGCGGGGGCGTCTCGCTTTCCCACAATTACAGCGCGGCCTCTGGGGGCTGCCCGGTCGGGGGCGGGGCGGGGCTCCCCGGCTCGGACCGCCGATCGCGATCGCGCGGGCGGTGGCGCCCTCGGCCTTTGCGCGCTCGCAGTCCGTGCGCAGAGACCCCCGGGGCGCGTGCCCTGCAGCGAGGCCGGGCCCCGGGCGGACGGAGCGGCCCGCAGAGAGCTACAGAGCTCTGGCCGGCCCACTCCGCCCGCAGCGCTCCGCCGTAGGAAGCCCGATTCGGCCCGGCGGTCTCCACTGGGCGGCGCGAAGCCCGGCGCCCGCGATCCGGGCCGCGCCGCCCCCTGCCGGACGGGCCTGGAGAGTCGGCCCGCGGCCGGGCCCGCACCCAGTCCTGCGCCTCTGTGCGTCGGGAATCGCTTTACAGCCTCATGGTCTCAGGCCCACTGCGAACGACATAGGCGCGCTGCCAGGTCAGGGCCAGCCCGATAGTCAGTACTACTTCTGCAGGATGCCAGTCTCTGCCGCCCACAGGACACCACCCTCGGAGAGAGTGAAGAGCCTTGACCCAGGCTTTAGACTTCCGGGTGGGAAGAGGGACGGGCAGCAGGCCTGGGGCGTCCACAGCTGTGGCCAACTAGCACAGGCCTGGAGGAGGCCTGTGCTTGACCAGGATTTGTGCTGGGGTCAACCGCAGTGGCCACGTGTTTCCTTCGCGGCCGTGAGGCTGGGGCCGTGCTTGCACCGGACAGGGGGGGAGGCATGCACAGAGACACACGCAGTGGTCAGGGACCCGCTGGGCGCTTTGAGAACAGGAGGTCAGAGCCGTCCCTCACCGCCACTCCCCACCTCCGGCGCTTCCCCTGCTCCCCTCTTCCCACCAACACTCGGGTCACTGGAGCTCCTGCCCTTAGTCAGCACGCTGTGGAATGGAGAGGTTGCCTTGGATGCTTTTCCCTCAGGCCCATTCCTGCCTGGCACGTGAATACCGGCCCCACCCTGCCACTGACCAACTTTCAGTATCAAGCTTGTATCCTCCGAGTTTTTAAAGAGCATAGAGTGAGCAGAGTGCTGGCCTAGGCACAGTCCCCAGCTTGCTCTACCCGCAGCTGCTTTCACCCTGCTGACCTAGGGACCCGTGGGATTTAGGGTGGGGCAGAAGTGGCGACTGCGAGGACAAGGCCACCGCCGAAGGGCCCTTCCAGGGCGAGTACCCGGTGTGGTACAGGGCAGGGTGCGCCCAGCAGGCTTCCGCCTGCCCCACTCTGCAGCTGCCGGGCTCGCAGGAGGTCCGGCTCCCCTCGGCGGCCTGGCCTGCTCCCCCGCACAGCGGCTTCTCGGGTCCTCGCCGGCGGGAGCTCAGCTGAGCCCGTGCGGGCGCGGGAGGAGGGGGAGCTCCCAGGGGAGAACAGCCCAGTGGGGCCGGGGTCTCTGACGCTCCGTCAGCTTGATGAGGTGGGGCCATCCCTAAGGGGGGCTCGGTAGTCCCTCCTTCCCCAGCAGGAAGGCCGCCGCCCCCGCCCCCGTGGACCTCACATCGCCTCCTTGGAGCACAGGCTCGGGGATGAGCGCGCCCCGCGCCCCGCGCTCGCAGACCCCAGCTACTCTTGCCAGCCCTGTCCCTGGAATCATCTTTGGACGAGGAGGACAAGCCACAAATCCCCGCGAAGACCCGAAGAGTGGGCAGGTGCCCTCACTGGGGCGAGGTGGCCGGCAGCCTCTGCACCCCAGTCCTGCGCTTTGCAGCAGTTTACAGGCTGGCAGGGCAGAGGCTGCAGCCCTTCCCCGGCCCCGCCCCGACACAGGCCCCGCCCCTTACGAGGCCCGCCTCGGGCTGGCCCTCCCCCGTCGGTCTTCAGGTCCCTCCCACCGCAAGTGCTCTGCGCGCAGGCGCAGAAGGGATTTGTTGCTGTCAATTCGGCGCTGGAGCTGCGTCGGTGACACACAGTGGAGGCCGGGTTCTGAGTTCTGCGTGCAGGGCTTGCACATTCTGAGGTACATAGGCCCAGCCCCACATCCAGCCATTGGCCTATGCGGAGTCTAGAAAGATTAACAAAGAAGGGGTGGCCTGCGGTGGGGCAGGCTGGAGAGCCTGACCTAGGACGTCCAGGTGGTTCGGAGGCCCGGGTCCTTCGGGGTCCGCCGGGCAGCGCCTCCGTGCGAGCCCTGGGAACGCTGAGAAGCCCTGCACTGGCCCCACTCCTTCCAGCCAGCTCTCTTGCAGCCAGGCAGGCCCACTGTGCGCAGGTGTCCACGCACAGTTCCCTGCGGGCGGTAAGGTCCCAGGTCAGAGAGCAAGAGCTTGAAGGGGAGTTTTCCTTGGACAAGGGCTGGAGAGGATTCTCGCTGCTCTGATCGCGCAGCCTCAGGCAGGCCCTGCGCTTGTCTGCGCCTGGGTTTTCTTCGTGCCTCTTCCTCTCTGTGTGACATGGAGCGGGAAGTCCAGCACTTTTTTTGTTACCTGGACCCAAAGCTGGGACTCAGTGTGTTGTGGTATGGAAGAACGCTGATGCGTTTGAGGCACAACGTGAAGCCGTCCTCGCAGAACGCCTCTCTCCAGCCTGCCCTGGGGCCTGCCAAGCCACCTTGTTTCTGAGAGACTCCCCGCAGGTGCCTTCATCTGTCATCACCCAGGGACGCTGAAGGAGGCGGAGGGAGGGAGACGGCCACTTGGACTATTGGCCTGTCTTCTGGGAAATGTGAGGAAAAGCCTTTTTCAGTTCCAACGGATTAATGAATTTGCAAATTCTGTTGGTTGGGGAAGCGCTCAAGGCTCAGGGAGGAGTCTGCCTCTCTCCAGGAGACATTGTGGATATGCTTCCGGAGTAGGAGTAAGGTCACCCCGGCAAGACCCGGTGTGGACAAGGGGAGGGGTGTGTGTACATATGATGACTGCCACTGCTGACCACGTAGGTGTCCTCACACCGGCCTGCAGAGTGGAAGACACGCATTCTGTGCATTTGTGCTTTCCTTGGGACAGAAAATTCTTGAAAAGTAAAAGGAAGTCACACAACCGGCTCCATGGAATCTTCTGGAGAAACCGTCCTCTCCCCGGTCTCCTCAGTCCTCACTGTGTGCTAACATCCTCAAATGTTTATCCTGGACTTTGCCAGTTCTAGGTCCAGTGATGACAAGACAAGACTCACCCAGGAAAGCGACATGGATGGAACGGGCTGAGAGTTTGCTTCCCTTTTCCAAGCGCTAAACTGGCTGTCAGCAGCCTGGTTGTCTCTGGGGATGTATGAAGTGCTGTGAATGCATTTTAAATATTTGGTTTGGTTGAACTCTTTCACTAGTGAGATAAGATAAGGGTTTTGTCTTACCAGTAGGAATGGATTGGTTTCTGTCCTTTGCAGGAAGGTAAAAGGTTCTTGGAGCCTGCAGGTACATGGTGATATACGGATAGAAAGAAAACCAGTGGAGAGGGGCCAGCAATGGCTAGACGCTGGTCAAATGATCAAAAGGAGAAAAGGGCTTCCAGAGAATCTGGGGCCTACCGTGAGTGGGGTTTACTTGAGTTGTGGGTCTCTTTCTTAACTTTAGAGGAGAGCCAGGTAAGTTTGTGCAGTTGGAGCTCAGAATTGCTTTGTACCTTAAAGACCACATGGCACCTCCTACAGGCCTGCAGTAGCCCAAGAAACAGAGCAGGTGTGATGCCAGAATCACTAGGACAGTCTGTGTGGCCTTGTAATTGGAGGGAGTCGTCAACGCTGAATTTTTTAATTAAGTTTCTTGGTGCAATTTAGATATCTAATGATCATATTCATCATAGGGAATTCATACCTGTATATGATATATCTTGATTCGTCCTTTTTCCCCAAAAACCTCCCTTGCCTCCAACCTATCTTCCCTTTATTTACAAAGCTTTGCTTCCATTTTATCCTTCTTAAGGTTTTTCATACCAGAGAAACAGTGCAATATTTACACATATGTGACTGATGGTCTCATGGTGTATCCATTTATTAAGAAATGTCTCAAGTTTATTCTTCATTATGGCTGAATAGTAATTGTATGAAAAAATCCACGTCATTTCTATCCATTACTTGGTTGATGGGCATTTGGGTTTTTCCCCAAGATTTAGCTATAACATTCTGTTACTATAAATATGGTTGTAATATGGTATATTTTTAATTTGTCTAGGATATTACTCAGAAGGGAAATAGGTTAAATGGGACTTGTAATCCTAGTATTTTGAGGACTGTCCACACTGATTTCCACCGTGGTTGCACCAGTCTACACTCCCACCACCAATGGAGAAGGAGTCTTTTTCCCCCATGGCCCCTCCAACATTTGTTATTGGTTGGCTTCTTGATGATAGCCATTATTTCTGGAGTGATGAAATCTCAACCTTGTTTTGATTTACATCTTTTGAATGACCAATGATGTTGCACATTTTTACATATATTTATCTACCATTTGTATTTCTTCCTCTGAGAAGTCTGTATTTATCTTAAATGTGCATATTTGGATTGGGTCTTTGAATTTAGGGAGTCTGATGTTTTCAGTTCTTTATATGTTCTAAACACCCCTTGCTTGAGGGACAACTAGTTAAATTTTTTTCCTATTCTATAGTTTATCTTTTCACTCTATTGGTAATTTCTTCTGCTGTTCAAAAGCTTTTTAGTAGAATGAGATCCCAGTTGGTGATGGTAGTTTTTCTTGTGTGGTCTGAGTTTTGTTCATGAAATCTTTGCCTGTACCTATATCTTCAAGAGTTTTACTTCTGCACTCTTCTGGCAGATTTAATGTTTCTGTCTTAATGGTTAGATCTTTGATCAATTTTAATTTTAGTTTGGTGCATGGTGAGAGACATGGGTCTAGTCTTAGGCTTGGACATGTAACAAGCCAGTTTTTCCAACACCATTTGTTAAAGAGACTATCTTTCTTCCAGTGAGTACATTTGGTCTCCTTGTCAGAGATAAGGTGGCTAAGTGAACACTGAAATATTTGAGAGGGGCACTAACATGGTGTCAGAAACTAGAAGAGTTCTCATCAACTGTTAGAGAAATCTGTGAATTTGTAAGATCTATATTTTAATGATAAGATTTATATATTGTGACATTTTTGTTTCTTTATGAATTCATAACTTTGGTGCTTTAGTCTATACAAATGACAGTCTCAGGTCTGTAGTTAGAGTTTAGATTTAAAATATCTCCGACAATACTCATGTGTTTGAAGGCGGGGCTTTTGGAAGGTGATTAAATCATGGGGGAGATACACTCATCAGTGTATTAATCCATTGATAAGTTCTAGCTGAATATGCTGCTTAGTTACTCTTGCCTTGCTGAGACAAAATACCAAATTCAAAGCTGAAGAAGGAAAGCTTTATTTAGCTCACAGTTTGTAGAGGTTTCAGCTCCATAGTCAGCTGGTTCTAAGGCAGGGTGGTATGAGACAGAGGCATCAGAGAGAAACAGTCCATGGTAGAGCAGGGCAGACAGAAGGTTGTAGGCAGCAAAATAGCAATAAATAAGCAGCAGGGGATGACCCGCTTCCCGTCCCTTATATCTTGCTCATGCTACCCATCCTAGGGTGGGCATTACACTCAGGGTGGGCACCATGAATCCTGCCCAGATCTATGCCGGACCAATCAGTGGACTAATTTCATACACTCTTGATCCTATTCTCACACACACTTCTGAAAAGCTCCACCTACGAATGCCAGAGGTTTTTGGGTGACATCTAGACACAAACCGTAACATGCTGTTAAGAAGGGGTTTTGATCTGAAGAGGTGATCATGGGAGCAAAGCTAGAAAGCTTTCTTGCTCCTGGCTTCTCCTTTCCCCTTTTTGCCTCTCCTATTTTGCTTCCTGGCTGCCATGGGTTGAGCAGCTCTCTTCCTCCATGCTCTTCTGCTAGGTTCTCTTGACTTTGGGGACAACTCCTCCTGAATGGAATCCTCTAAAACCATGAGCCAAGATAAATCTCTCCTCATTTAAGCTTCAAGTATCAAGTCTTTTGCCTCAGTGATGGGCAAGTGTCTAATACAGAAAACTGGTTTCAAGAATCAGATCATTGCTGTGACTGTGGCTGATTATGATGATCAGAAACCTTTGGAACTGTTTTGTGGAAGAGGGCGGGAAAAGTTTGGAGATACTGTCTACAGAAGCCCTAAGATGTTGTAAGGGGTACTTTCTGGGCAATGCTGGTTCGAGCTCAGAAGACCAGAGTGCTAATACCAGTGAGTATTGTAGAGATCAGCTCATGTGGTTTTGCTTGTGAAGGAACAGTGTATTGGAAGCTGGACTAGAAGCCCCACGTATTTCAGTTTGGTAAATAGTTGTTGACATTTTGGCTGTGTTCTAAAACTTTGTATAAGGCTAAATGTAAAAGTCATAAACTAGTTAATTTGTCAGAGAGAATTTCAAAGCAACTCAACCTCCAGGCTATGGCATGAGTACTTCTGGCAGCTTTTAGTCAGATCTGAAGTGGGAATCGACAGCAAAAGAGCAGAATGAAAATTTCCCATCTTGATGAGAAAGGAAACATAGGTAGAATTGGGGTCAAGGACAGAATGGCTCCTAAAAAGATTAATACTATTAGAAAAAAGCTGTGTACTTTATACTCAAACAATGGAAAAGATGCCTTGAGGGTATCTCAGAAATTGGTGAGACTCTATCCTTAACAGCTTCTGGGGTATGAAAGGGTGAAGTACTCTAAGAACCTTTGCTTTGAGAAGAGAGCCCCAGGACACTCACTTAACTCAGAGCCACCTAAGAAAGAGTATTTCCAAGTTCATGCATCCAGGGACTTATTGACTGTAGTGACCCAGATCAGGAGAGGATGAAGAGAGAAGGCTGGGCTGCTGCTGGGGCTGGCAGCAAAATTTGCAGTCATTCATATAAGCATACAGAATGCTAGAGTTGTGGGGTCATGGAAGCTTCTACCCAGATTGAAAAGGCTAGCTAGGAGGGCAGGCAGTTTGTTTCTGATGGAGTAGCATGTAAGTCTGTGAGAATAAAACTGAAGGTGTGGTAGAGAACCCAAGCAGTTGGAGGTATCAGAAATGTGGAATGTCTTCTGAGGGTTAACTACTAGCAGTGAGCAGACTAGGCTAAGGAAGATGCCATGTAGGCTGCCATCAGCAAAGCTGAACGGGCAGGGCTGCTGTGATGGTTCACTGACTGTGTCACCTTGAGAGAAGGTTAATTAAAGTGATTCATCAATTCCACACTCTAAGGTGTGTAAGACCACAGGGCAGTTGGTCACCTGAATGGTATAAAGGGGAATGAAGAAGGATGGATCTGCTTCTGTTTCTTTAGAGGAGCTTCAGTCTTTGCCTTCATATTGAACATCATTTCTGGGCTCCCAGTACAGACTCTTCGGCTCCTGGGGTAGATCCTTCAGCCTTCTGCAGTAGACTCTTCAGCATTTCACTGCAGACCCACTGGCCTCCTGATATGGACTTGCATTTGTGTGGGACACTGCAGTGAGCTGCAGATCTTAAGTGACTCCTTCAGACCTGAGTGTGCAGGCAGAGCCTCCCCCGTCTTCTTACCTGACTCTGGATGTGGCCACCATAAACCAATCCTGTAAATTGTATATATTGTGTTATACTGTTTCTCTAGTAAATACTGACTAGTGCAAATGCCCAAGCCCTCTGGAGCACAATCTCATAACATGTTCCGGTCCTGGACATACAGTTATGGGATTTAATGTTTGTCTTGCTAGATTTCTGGTCTTATGCTTGTTCACTTCTTTCCTATACCCCCTACCCTCCCTCCTTTTGGAATAGACTTGTTTGCTCTGTGACACCGAATGTTGGAGATATTAACTGCCTTTTTTGTCTTTATGGTAGCTCACAGCTAAGCATTTGTCTTGAGTCTCAGAGGAGACCTTGAATTTTTTTTTTCTCTTTTTGGAAAGAGAGTGTCACTATGCTTTTCAGGCTGGCCTTGAACATGCAGTGATCCTCCTGTCTCATCCCCTCAAGTTCTGGGATTACAAGGGTGCACCAACACACCTGGTATGAACTTGAATTTTGAACAGTGCTGAAAATGTTGAGACTTTAGTGACTCACAGAGGTGAACTAAACACATTTCATGCAATGAGATAGACATGAGCCTTTTGTGGGGCAGCAGAGGAATGTTATGGTTTCAATCTACATTGTCCCTCAAAATTATTCTGATTCAGGAAAGGGTTTTTGAAGATGATTGGATCATGGGGCACTATACTCTTCTTTGTACTAATCAAATAATGAGTTTATAATTGAATGTGCTATTAGAAGGAAGGGCCCAGTTGGACGGAGGGAGCACTGAGACTGTGACTTGGAAGAGGATCTCCTTGCCCCTTACCCCTCTTTTCTCTCTTTCTGCTTTCTTGCTTTCATAGGTTGAGTGGTTTCCCTTGCAGTGCCCGCCTGCTAAACTGTTGCTTCCTTGGGATCACTGACTATGGACTGAAGCCTCTAAAACCGTGAGCCAAATAAGCTTCTCCTCTATTAAATTGTAGGTGCCAGGTATATTGTGCCAGCAAAGGGAAAGTGATTAAAATAATGCACATATACTTAATAACTAGTCATGCTACTTATATTTATTTAAATAATGTAAATATTTGCTCATTTTATTGTTTTATTTTTCTGAATTTTTGGCACCCCTTTCCTCACTTCTTCTGATTAAGATGATTAGCTAGCTCTAGCTCAGTTTCTTTAATGGTTACTCTTAAAAGTTAAGCATGTTTACTTAGCTTAAGATCTCTAGTTCACTGACAGTGTCTCTTAATTCCTTAATAATGCAGTGCATTATTGAATATAAGGCAAGATCTCAATTCATATGTCTCTCCAAACTCAGTTGGTGCTTCCTCACTGCTTGCTCAGGGCTGCTGGCCTACAGGGGACTGATCCTTACACTTGAGGTAGCTGCAAGGGAAACAGCCTGTCCGTGAAGCCTGCCTGACTGAGCTCAGCTGTATCTGTCAGCTGTGCTTTTGGGGGCTCCCGGGTCATGATAAGCATGGCAGTGGCTTGGGCTTTACCCCTGTGGGAATCATACGGTGCAGTGGTAGAGTTCTTTTAGCCAGGAAGCCAGGCAAACTTTTTCTCTTTGCAAAAATACATTTTTTAAATTTTAACTGTTTTAAAATGTATTTAACCATCCAGGAGACTGGATTGTGATACCTTCCTCCAGCATCCTCTGCCCCAATATTTTATTGTGAACATTTCCAAACATAGAAAGATTGAAAAAGTCTTGGTGACAGTCTCTAATCAATGTCCAAGTACCCATCACCTAGATTTCAGTCAACATTTTACTACATTTGCTTTATCACATATCTGTCCGTTGATCAATCCTTGCAATCTTTTGGAAATGAAAATTTATAAACATACAAAATGAAAAAACAATATGAGGAATACCTCCCTTATACAGTGAGTGACAATGATCTGTCAGTTTCTTTGTAACTCTCTCCCTCCGAACTGTTTGAATATTAGCTCCAGACTGCATACGCAGATTTCATGTTGACAATCCTTTTCTTTCGGTACTTGAAAAACGATCCCACCCCATCATTGCTGATGATAAATTCACTGTTCCTTGAGTCGCTGTTCCCTTCTATATGTAAGATGTAACTTTCTTTTCCTCGCTGCTTTCGTGATGTTTTCTTCACCTGTAATTTTCTGAAGTTTGTTTATGATGGTTCTTGTGATTTTCTTTGAGTTTTCTTCTTTGAGATTTTCTCAGATTCTTGACATTTGTAGACTTTTTCCATATTTGAACATTTTCAGCCCATATTTCCTCAGATAACAGCCGTGATCTATTGGCCTTAAACAAGGTACCTCCAATGTCTTTTTCCCGTGCTTTTAAGATGCCAATTATACAAACATTAGAACTTGGTTTTGGTTCCACTGGTTTCTCAGGTTCTGTTTATTGTTTTTCACTATTTTCCCTGTTGTTCATACTGGAAAATGCTTAGTATTCTGTTGTACATTTCTCTGATTTTTTCCCTCTTTTTATCCATTTTGTTGTTGAGTTCATCCTTTTGAGTTCTTGAACATGTAGTTATTGTAAGTTTTCTAAAGTGCTGAAATGTCCTTGTAGCTCTTCTCTATATATTATATTTCTTTGCTAATATTTTCTATTGTTCATTTGTTTCAAAAATTTGTAATTGCTTTCTGAAGCAGTTTTGTAATGCCTGCTTTAAAATTCTTGTCGCACGTTCTAGTCCTAGTGCCTGTATCGTCCTCACACAAACACTTGTTATCTTTATCGTTTTACACTGAGATTTTCGTGTGTGTGTGTGTGTGTGTGTGTGTGTATGTGTGATTTTTTATTGTATCATGGACATTTGTGGTATTATGTTAGAAGATTCTCAGTCTTATATCTTAAAGATGTCTGTTTTGCACGTTTCCTCTGACTCTGTGCTGGTAGGAGAGGACAGAGGTGTCCTTTGCTGCTACCCAAAAGGTGCTGAAGTCCAGCTCCCACTTAGAACCCTCCTGACAGTGCAGGGAAAGTGGGAAGCAGCCGCCGCCTTCCACGTGGCTTCTGCTGGGGGATGAGGAGGAGACGCGAGGTCTTGTGACTCCTGGCGATGCTGAGGGCTTGCCTTCCCGCTCTGTGGTCTGAGTCTTCTGGGCCTCCCTGGGCTGGGGAGTGAGGTGGAGCCTTGTTATAGCTGCCTAGATTCCCTACTCTGTCCTTCTAATTAATAATCTGTGGCCTTTGAGCCTTTTCTTGCATAAGTGAATGCATACTGCTTTTCAAAATTACGTGCTAAGCTGCAAATAGACTTGTCCACAATTCTCGCTTCTAAGGAATGCTTCCCTTCTTTCGCTGTAATGTGACCCTGGGTTACTATTTTACTGTATTATAGTGTTTAAAATTTCATAATTTACAATTGTCACTTTGTACTTTAACATCAAGTGCTCTGCAGTGGTCTCTTATTATAAAATCATGAAATTTGTATTTATTCACAAAGATAGATATTTAGGATTACTCTGTATTAAAAAGAACAAATGATATTTTTAGACTACCTATGACTCTTGAGGCATTTTTTTTTTTTTTTTTTTTTTTTTTTTTTGGTACCGGGCATCGAATTCGGGACTTCTTGCTTGCCAGGCAGTCTCGGCCCCACTGAGCTAAATCCCTGATCCCGACTCCTGCCTTTTTACTAAGTGAGACTGAGTCTTTTATTATTTTGTTTGTCAAAAGAAAAAATATAATACCTTGGTTAGCTGGGAAGGTGGTTTTCTTTTATACCCTACTCCTTTATCTCAGATGCAAATCATACTTTTTAATATAAACTTGTGCATAGAATATTAAGGCCTATTATATTTTGACAGTGGGACTTAAGGAATATATTCAAGTTTTCTTAAACTATTATGCTATTTTCCTTTAGCAGCAAAATACTTCTGAAAAGAATAGATTTTTTTTTTCTAAAATTGTGCTCTCTATTTTTCTTACTGTTGCTTTGTTCAGGGAAAGAAATAAGAATTGAAACAAAACCTCTGTAGTTATTATTACTCAGTGGTTTAAGACCTCTGACTCATAGAATTATACAGATTGATGGAAGCAATCCCTGCTTTTTAGATATAGTGTTGTTAACAAAAAAAGATGTTTATTTCAGTAAGTCTGGCAGACTGAAGTAAACGGTCTCTAAAAGGAACTAGGAAACTTTTGTCTCAGTACAAATTTTATTGTAGAACTTTCTAGGTCATCTTAGTTAAATCGCATACCTTCTTATCACAACAAAAGAATCCCTCTTTTCTAACTTTAACATTTTTTTTTGCCAGAAAAAATTAAATTTGTGCCATAAATGTAGATAATGTTGTGAAAACCATGTAGCTTTTATTTAGTCTTAAAAATATCTTCTAACAGTATAAGCGTTTTTGCTGTTTTGGTCTCAAAAATGTCTTAAAGTGAAAGCTAGAACTTCATTTCTCAAATGTGAGAAAGCTCAGACTTCATTTCCAGGATTGACTATTGCTGTTTTTGCTACGAGTGATAAACGGTTGGTTGGTTTTCTCTCCTTAGCACCCTGAATCTCAGCTGTCCTGGAGTTAGATACCAACCATGCGGATTCGGGCCTCAGTCAGCTTCGCATATGGCTGAGAGACGTGGATTAAAATAGCTGTGAGTAGTAAATCAGTATCATGCTTAAGAAATATGCGGAAGTGTGTGGATCTTCTGACGTGCTTCAGAAGCTCAATAAAACCAAGCCAGCTACTTTCAAAGTAAGAATTACGGCAAAAACAAAACAAAACAAAACAAAACAAAACAAAACAAAATAAAACAAAATAAAACAAAAACGTAGAAATAACAATGGTTTGAGGTGCAGATTTGTCTCTGGAGAAACAAAGGAAGTCAAAGTCATTTCAAATTTCAGAGGAATAAGACTTTACGGTACTTGGGCCACACAAACCCTGTGGCTGCATCATAATGGAATTTTTATGTAAGACTTTCCGTGGGCAGTAGAAGCCCGCCACCACCCGTGTCTGCCATCTCTGAGCTGGTTCTCAGCTGTAGCAAGCACCAGTACGAGTCCCTGCATATTTATCTTCAGCTCATACTCAGCGTTTGACATGAAGAATGAAGCCAAGAATTACATGGACCTCAGCTGTGCATCTTAAGCCGCTCACAACTGGTTGCTAAGCATATTTGGCAATTGGCAAAAACAATGTATAGCAATGTTTAGTTTTCTCTCCGTGTGTGATACTGAGTTACCTCCTTGCCGCAGAAGTCACTCTGAGCAGGATGACGGGTATGGGCTGGGGAGGAGCGGGGCATGGCTATCAGCCACGGTCTGTGGGCTACAAGAAGGTACCTCCCAGGCTGTCTGTGTAACAAGAAAGCCAGCTGAAAGGCATCTGCCCTTTCCAGGCTGTTGGCTTCACTGTTTTCCACAGGAGGCAATCCCAGTCCTGCAGCACACACACAGCAAGAGAGGCGTCCTGTGACTGGCTTTGTGCTTTGTTGGCTCCCGAAGCCCCCACCCTCCAGCCCCATCCCTGGACTTAGGAGCTGTGTGTGCCTCTAGGTGGTGAACAGCAGCTCTTACCTGAAAGCACTCCTGTTGGTAGCCATTTCAGGGATGTGATGAGAGCATCCCTCCCTTTGTATCCCACTAGCCAATCAGTCCACCCTCATGGCCTCTACTGGAGCTGGAACTCTCCCCTTCACCACGGGAACCCCTGCCTTTCTTGGTGAGAGGTGCTGTTTAGAGTGTAGACCCATGGGAAGGAAGTGTTCTACAGAGCTGAGATTTGCTGAGACTGTACCATATCTACAGTGTTGCAGTGTGAGATTTACAACCGCAGGTATTAATAGTCTCATCATTTTGATTAAGAAAAACCCCAAGACCCAGAAATGAATGCAAAAGGTGCCAAGTTGGTAAATTCCTCTCGGGGAAATCCCATTTTGCATTTTCAAACGATGCTTTTTCATATGTTGGCAGGAAAGCTGTACCTTTTATTTCCAGTTTACCTTGAAGTTGGAGTATTTTGAATGATAGCCCTGAAATCTTAGAAGTCCTGCTAATTTGATGAGGATGAGGTCATGACCGTGACTTTTGTGCAGTGCCAGCTACTCATCAGGGATGTCAGGAGGGAGGGAGAGATGGACCATAACTCACCCCCAGAAGCCCCAGATTCATCGTCTTGTTTTCTGTGGCAAGTGGAGCCTCCGGAGATGGGGAGGGCTCTGGAATAAGAGTAATCCTAGGCCATCAGCCCTGGGATTTCCTGGTGACCTGCTCTGATGCACGTAGAGGAGTGGCCTGGTGGTCCTGGTGGTGGGCATGGTTCCCTCTGCAGCTGCAGGTCCAGGGTCGGGGCTGCAGAGGAGGCCCTGTGCCCTCTGTGGCCCGTGGCCTCTAGACAGCACCGGTTAGAATGCCGTGGAGGAAGGATGCTCATCTTTGGGGTATCCTCTCAGCACTCCTCCTCCACTGCCACCTTGCATGAGTCCTTGCTCTGGAGGAGGGATGCGGTGAGCAGCCTGTGGAGGAGGCGTCTGCATTTCAGCAAGATGAGCGCTAACCTTAGAGAGGGTGCATGTGGTGGTTCCTGGAGCTCACCGCGCAGCAGGCCAGGCTGCTTGGCCACCTCTGAGCCCCTGCAGGTGCAGGCTCCAACGAATGTCACATCCAGTCAGAGCCACGCCGGTCTCAGGCCCCCTCATGCTTGTCTTGTGCTCATGTATTTTGCTTCCATGGCAGAGTTCAATTCATAGTGTTCTTACAAGGATGCTGGCCGAGGCTTCTTCCCCATCTTGTTGACAAAGGAGCCGATTCACCTTTAATACCCTTCAGGGCCAGGTGCTTTGTCCTTGGGAACTGTTTAAGAATTGTTGAGTTTATTTGTGCTTTTTAGGGCAATATGCCCTCATTTTGGAGATTGGATTAGGAAAGTATAAAGGAGAATTAGATGCTCAGCCCTTTTGTCAGCCGTTGTGTCAGGTCCCTTTCACGTGAGCTCCCCGAGGCCTTTCTTCTGTGTGCACATATTAAACAAAGCCACGATCATAGGATATATCTGGATGTGTTCCTTTTTTAAAAAAAATCATTTAATCATAAATAGTGGGTCCATTTTATTTCACTTTACTGAAAATTAGACATTTTGCATGACCGCATTCATGTTAGTATTCTATTGCTGTGTAAGAAATTACTACTTTCCATGTGGGTGCTTAAAACTCCACCGTCTACTAACTGAGAGTTCTGCAGCTAAGAGGCTTTCATGGTACACGTGGGGCCAGTCTCCAGCAGGACAGAGCCCCTGCCCTTGTGCTGAGCCTCCTCCTCCAGCCCTGTGCACCCCCAGTTCCTCCCTGCTCAGAATCCCAGTGTCTGGAAGCTCTGGGAAGAGCCTGCTTGGCGCAGTTCAGTTCCTGAGGCTGCAGGGCTGAGGGCTTCCCTTCCTCGCTGGCTGGCAGCCGGGGCTGCTCCTGAAGGCGCAAGGCCACCGGCCTCCCCTGTCTGCAAACTAGAGGTGGTGCCTGGGGTCACTGTGGTGCTTTCAACTCTGATTCCCCATTTTTGTGATCTGCTGGACAGAACTCTCCACTTTTAAGGGCTCAGATATTTAGGTCACACTCATGGGACAGTCTCCCTGTGTTATCATCCATCTGGGTCTGTAGCCCAATCAGGAGAGCAAAATCCATTGCATGGACACATTTCCGGGTGTTCCAGGACTTTTATATGAGGCCGAGGAATCTTCAAGGCCGTTTTATATTTCACCTACTAGAACATTATAATTTATTGCATTTTTTTGTGTTTACAAATTGTGCTTGCTTCCACCTTTTGTTAGTACTAGGAATAATGTTCTTGGATGGATATATAATAAATGTTAATTTAGATAGAAATGGTACTTTGTAATTTTCACTTTTATTTCTAGTGAAATTCAATATGAACTTTTCTGTTTATTGGTTATTTGTATTTTATCTTATATGAATGATTTCTTGCCATTTTTTCTCATACATATTTTTCTGATATACAGCGCTTACTAATAAAAACATTAACTGGATAATTCTGTTACAAATAATTTACCTTTTCTATGTACTTTTGATATATGTATGTAACATGTGTGTGTATATGTGTGTATGTATATATATATGTATATACAATATCTTCTTTCTACCTATGGTATCATATTTTAAAGGTCCTTTTATACCCTAGGATTTTAGATATGTTGATTTATATTTCCATTACTCTCATATATATACTGCCAGAAATACATACACACTTCAGGAAAAGAAAGATCCGCATAAATATTTTAGTTCTAAATTTATTGAGACTTCATGAGATTAATAACAAGTTATTTTTGTCCTCTGCAACTACAAGAGGTGCTCAAAATGGTAGCCTTTAGCTTCCAGACGTTTGCTGGGACGGGGAAGTGCTGCTTGGGTGAGCTTGGTCCCTGAGATTGCTGAACACGCCTTTCCAGTTGCTGCTCTGAGGGCCAGCTGTGTGGTGGGTTTTCTGTGCTGTGTGACATCATCTAGGGTCCCCACGTGAGAGGAACACCGTCTGTTGGGAAAGCATCACGCTGTTTTCCTTTCCCTGAAGAGTGTGTACATTTTTTGGCAGAGTCTGTATTTAAATTTTAATTTGCATGAGATTAATGCTGATATGTAGCGTTAGATATATTTATTTTTTCCTCCAAATGATTTCACTGTGATCCAAATATTCAATAAAGAACTCATCTTTGCCCTCTGATTTCAAGTGCCATTCTTGTGCTTCACTCTTTTGGGCGGTTTTATAGTTGTTCTTTGTAGGTTCTTGTCAGTATCTTGCTCTTACGATTCTTTGCAATAGTTTCATTTTTTAATTTTAATTTTTTATATTTTTAGCCCCAAGTTGCAATAATTTCAAGTATAAAAAAGTCAAATATGCTGTTAGGCAAATTATTTCTTGTAATTTGTAGTTTTCATGTTTCATTGGCTCTCTTACCCTTACGCTTTCAGGAAATGTACACTGCAGTCACTTTTTTGCTGGCTTTTCTTCCTCTTTCCTTCTCCCTCCCCTCCATTCCCCTCCCCTCCCCTTCCCCTCCCCTCCCCTTCCCTCCCCTTCTGTCCCCTCCCCTCCCCTTCCCTTCTCTCCCCTTCCCTTCCCTTCCCTTCCCTCCCCTCCCCTCCCCTCTCTCCCCTCCCATCTCCTCCATTCCCCTCCCCTCCCCTTCTGTCCCCTCCCCTTCCCTTCTCTCCCCTCCCCTTCCCTTCCTTCCCTTCCCCTCCCCTTCCCTCCCCTTCCATCCCCTCCCCTTCCCTTCTCTCCCCTCCCCTCCCCTCCATTCCCTTCCCCTCCCCTCCCTGTCCTCCATTCCTCTCCCCTTCCCTCCCCTCCCCTCCCCTTCTCTTCTCTCCCCTCCCCTCCCCTTCCCTCCCCTCCCTCCCCTCCCCATCCCTCCTCTTCCCTCCCCTCCCCATCCCTCCCCTCCCCTCCCCATCCCTTCCCTCCCCTCCCCATCCCTTTCCTTCCCTCCCCTTCTCTTCCCTCCCTCCCCTCCCTATCCCTTCTCTCCCCTCCCCTCCCCTTCCCTCCCCTTCCATCCTCTCCCCTTCCCTTCTCTCCCCTCCCCTCCCCTCCATTCCCCTCCCCTCCCCTCCCTGTCCTCCATTCCCCTCCCCATCCCTTCCCTCCCCTCCCCTCCCCTTCCCTTCCCTCCCCATCCCTTCTCTCCCTTCCCCTCCCCTCCCCTCCCCTTTCCTTCTCTTCCCCTGTTCCTTCTTTTTTCCCTTACTTCTGTGGAGGATTGACTCCAGTACCTTTCACGAGGCAGACGACCTTTCTAACTCTTGAGTTACATTGCCAGCCCTTTGGGTGGAATTTTATTTGATGCATATTGATTTTATAAAACTTATTCTGAAGAAATAACACTTTTTCAGTGTATAGTTTTTTCATTCTAGAAATATGGTACATTTCTCCACTTATTAAAATTTTCTAGTGTATTCCTCAGTAAATTTTATGTATTTTTTTATTTTAAGGAAACTTCAAGCCTGAAAGAAACTTTAGTGGAATATTACAAATATTTCTTCTGTAAACCACTTGGGGAGAAGTTGCCCGCATGACGTCCTGTCACCACTGGATACTTTCATGTGTAACTCCAACAGCGGGGCCCTTTGATCCAAGGGTCAGAGTGGAGGTCAGGCAGTGGACACGGTGCGTACCGGAGCTGCTGACTTTCCAGTCCCACTCGGGTCTCGTCACTTCCCCTGCCCTGAGCTCTGACAGGGAGGGGACCCAGGCTATTACCACGTGTTATCCTGTTGTCATGTGTCTTTAGTTGCTTTCAGTGTCGAGTAGCTCCTGAAGTCCTCCCTGACACTTTATAACCTGACACTTTTGCAGGCATCAGGCTATTTCAGTGGCAAAATGTCCATCATCTGGACATCGTAACTTGGTTTGGATTACGCGCTTTTGGCAGAAATAGCATGAACACAGCGTTGGGCTCCTTCAGGGAGGTGAGGTTCAGGGTCAGTGTGCACAGTTACAGGCTGGTGTTGTGTGTGCACAGAATGCGCATCTCCTCTGTGCACAGGCTCTAGCTTTTATAGGTCACTTTTAAAAGTGGGCATTTTTATTTTCATTTTTCAGATGAGGACTTTGAAGCTAAGAAGCTTCATTGAAGCTGTGCTGTCGAACCCGGATGTGGCTTTGGGGCATCCTGACTGCCGCCTTGGGCCTCCCGAGAGCAGGGGGTCTCTCTCCAAAAATACTCTTCACACCCGCACTTAACAGCAGTGTGGCCTTAGGACACTAGGTCCGTCTTCCTTGGTTTCATCTATTCATCTGTCTATCTATTGATCTATCTATCATCTCTTGCACTGGGGGTTAAACTTAGGGCTTCAGCACTGTCTTTAATTTTTGTTTTTTTAAATTTTGAGGAGCTGGGGTTTTAGCTCCTCAGTGGTGAATCGCCTGCCTTGCAAATGTGATGTCCTGAGTTTAATCCCTGTTCCCCACCTGCCAATGTTTTGGAGACAGAATCTCACTAAGTATGTTGCCCAGCAGGGCAAACTTTGGATTCTCCCACCTCAGTCTTCTCCAGTGGTGGGTTACAGCTGTGCCCCGTCACACTGACTACAATTGCTTTTTAAGTAACATATGTACCAAGCACTGCTCTAGGCCTTGGGGTTGTGGCGATATAAGGTAAAATCCTTGGGAATTCTGTGTCCTGGAAGTGCCTCAGTTTCCTCTTTGTCCGGCCTCAGCGGTAATGAAAGCCTGTGTGTGGCTGAGCTTTTGGGAAGAGAGTAGATCACTCACATAGTGAGTTTACCACGGCACAGCATGCACCAGGAGCTGTCCTGGCGTCGACTTTCTGGAGCTGTGGTGTCCAGCTGGGGGGCAGAGGCCTGCCGGCTTGCAGTCACACCTTTTCAGGTCATCCTTGCAGTCACACGCAGCAGGGATGTGGTGGCCTTGTGAGGCCCTGGAAGGACTTCACACTAGCACGGTCTGGGAGATGCACACCAATGCCCTCTGCTTGTGCTGCGCCAGCCTCTCTCCTCTGACTGCCTGGAGCTGCACAGAGCCAGAGTGATTTTCCGCCAGAAAACAAAAAACCAGTGAGGACCAGAAGGAAAGTAATCCCAGTCGTAGTGCTTGCAAGGCTTTGGTGTTTTAGATTTTGGTTTGACGAAATTGCTCATGCTTTGGCTGCCTGTCTGAAGTTCCCACACCTTAATGATGTGGTATTAATGCCAGCAGAAAGACGCAATCAGCCAGCAGACAGCTCAGTTTAAGAAATGTAATATCTTAAGTGCATCACTTTTTTAAAATGCTGTTTTTGCTGAGGAATGGGGTAATCACCACTGGACATTCTACTCTGCCTCAGGGATCCAGTCTGAGAGCTGCAGTTTTGACCATAATTTGACTAATCTGCTCACACTTAGCATTTGTGACTCCTTTAAGTGGCATTTGCTATTCAGACAGGAAATCTTTGCTGTTTTTCTTTCAGAAATAAATATTACAACTTTTCATACTGTGGCCTGTGTTCAGATTGGGCTCCCTTCTCTGATGAGCTGCAAAAGAAATGAGGACTGGGTGTGGGACAAAGGACACTCAAGCCCAGGGCCCCAGGGCCTGCAGTGCGCACCTCAGGGCTGCCAGAATGAGCTGGGATCTTCCTGCATCCCGGAGGTGCAGAGTGAGTTGTTTTTCAGGGAGAAGTCATGTTTGAAGGAGACAGTACGTGCCAAAATCTTGGACCCATGAGATGTTCAGTGAAGGAGTTTACTTTCTTTCTAGAAAACTCACCTGCTTTATAAATTTAGCTTTCTTGGATGTTTTGAAAGCAGTTACAACTTAAGCTGCATGGGTTTCTTCTCCATAGCTGGAGAAGAAGGTGGCCTGCAGAAGGTGATGGGTGGAGGCTTGTGGGTTGAATCAATGGTGGTGCTGTGGTTCCCTGGCTGCAGCAGAGGTGGGTGCAGAGGTCTGTGCTGTCCCCAGGCTCCGGAGCAGCTCACTGGACAGCTGAGATGTCCCTGCCAATGCTCATGGGAGGGTCATTCTCACTGCAGTATTTGGACCCTTCGGGGCAGATGCTCTGCCTTTAAACCCATCTTTCAGACATTTGGCTTCCAGGTATTTGGCTGCTTCATTATATGTGCCCGGAGTTTAGGAATTCAGAGAAGACTTAGACATAGTCCCATTAGGAAGTCAACAGGTAGCAAAGAAGGTGCCAGGAGTGCACACATATGTACACCTGTGCACACGCATGCATGTATAGGTGCCTCCGTATCTGTATGCATGTAAACATATGCATGTATATATACATCTGGGGGAGTGGTGTCCTGAGGTAAGGAGACACAAAATTATGAGTTTGTGAGTGTGATGTCCATGTTAGAAGTGGAATCTGTGGTTCCATAAGAACCCAGGCTTGACAAAGTCAAAGAAAATAATGTTTAAGGCTCAGGTTGTCCCAGAGTCGAGATAGCCTCCCTCAGCAGTGGTTCTGGTTCTCAGTTTAGGACCAGAATAGTGAGAGAGCAGCTCAGAGTGTGTCGTGGAGGTGTGAGGAAGACCAGACAGAGGCTGCACAAGAGGGAAGGGCACAGAGCTCACATCTGTGAACAGGGAGGGTGAGGGCACTGCTGGGTCTCGATGCAGACTGCACAAAGGTCTGGCCGCAGCCTCATCCAAACAGGGAGATCAAAGAGCTTTTGCTGGATTGAGGACGAGGCACACATCCTTGGGGAGCCAGGTGCTGCTGTGTCCAAGGACTTTGCAGATTGCCTGGCTGGCTTTCAGATGCCTGGTTCAGGACGGACATGTGGAAGTGATTAGAAAGCTATGGTGCTTGCAAGAAACACAGATATCAGTGACATGAAAGGAAAGCATTCAAGCATTTGTAAATGGATTTGCCTATCAGTGCGGCTGGTGTGTGTGGTGGACCTCCTGAGCAACCCGCGGACGCTGCCTCTGGGGAGGGACCCCTGTCTTCGGGCCTGCTTTCTTAGCCCTCATGCAGTGGGCGTTCCTCGACTGCACCTGAGAGCTGTCCTGGTTTCCTTTCTAAGGTGAGGGCTCCTGCCACTGACTGTGGGTTAGAGGTTCCCTAAGCTGAGGGCTCCACAAAACTTCCAGGAGGAAGGAGTGTGTGTGCGCGTGCAAATGTGTGTGTGTGTACCAGGGTGTGTGGTGAGGGCATCGAGAACCATCCTAGAGGGCTGATTAGTCTGTCAGTCCTGGCAAGTTATTAATCTCGC